ACATTTTAAGCTTGCTTTAGTTTTCAGCCATCTATTTCTCTTCCATTTCACTTTTTTAAAGTATAGAAAATACAAAGTCCAAAAATGTGCTGCTGTCAAAAATGAAAATCATTCAGGTTTGCAGCTCTTTTTCCATGCATAAACAAACACATTAAGGCTCTTCACTGAATGTTCTGGTATTGATAACTGCATGACAATCGCATTAACGAGAGCATACGCTTTCATTAGTCAGTACATTAACATCTTAATATGACGGCCATTATTTTGGAAATCAGCTGCGGATCGTTACACGGATGTACACTGTTTTGTCCACCTTGAAACAAATGCAAAGAATCTTCCTCTTTATTTTTTTCCTCCCTCTATTTGTCTAGAAAATAATCATCCCTGTGTCTCTCTAATAAAGGAAAGTAAAATTTGCCTCTGCAGTTTGCATATTACATGTGGTGTAATCAAAACAAAACAAGAGGTACAATGTGCCATCAGTAAAATAGAATTTTTAGATACGCACAAAGACATTAACGCATCAAGGTAACAGAAAGCTGCGAATTGTTTTGCGCTCAAACAAAAACATTAATTACGTTTTTGTTTTTGTTTTTCACTACTCCTCCTTGCAGAGCCTGTTCAATGAATTGTCCTTAGAAACGTCTGTCCTTTCAGGACCGTATATGTGCCTAACAAATGAAGCGACGGCAATTTGTAAGAATTGTCATTTTAATGAGAGCGATTAATTATGGTGGCAAAGGGAGTATTTGCTTCACAAACATCTACTCTGTGAGAAAGGGTGAGTCGGCTTCTCTTTGCTAGACTCCATACAATATCAAATACATTCATATTCTTTATTCACTGGCACAATATGCCTTATACAGTCCGACCATACCATGTCTGGTGGATTGCTCTGAATGGCGGAGTTGGTGGCCTTCGGTACATTGATGGAAAAAAACTTTTTTTACATTTTATTTTTTATACTTCTTATGGCTCATTCAACACCTTGGAATTCACAGGCCTAACTACATTATGTGGTAATGTGGCAGGAAGTAATAGAATGATCAAAATGATTTAAATTAAAATAAAATTGCAGCAAAAGAAAAAATTCATAAATTAATGTCAATGGGTCTGGAAGCAAACTGGCAATTTGTCATAAGGTGAGCCTCCATAAGGTATATTTGTTATAAGGTGAGCCTCCATGGTTTGATTGATATATGAATACCTGAAGGAAATCAAGATAACATCAGTCTGTCAAATTTTGAAAGTTCACCCAAAAATACAGATTTTGTTATCATTTACTCACCCTCATGACGATCCAATAAAAATACAATTTAGCATATTTAAAAAAAGAGTGCTTATTATGGAAATAATATACTTTAAAAAGATACACTTATAGGTGCGGTTAGCGATTTCTGGGAAACACTTGAAATTTAAAAAAAGACATTTTTCACAGACAAGGCTTAAGCTAGTCCCAGACTAAAATGCATTTTTTTAAATATCTTAAAATATGTAAGTGCCATTGTTTCGCCAAAAGCTACTTAAATGTCCTTACTTAACTAAGGCCTAATCCTGGCTTAATCTGCCTTGTTCTGGGAAACCGGGCTATAGTGCACTCTCTTTAAGCTTTCTTAATATGGTGCTCTTTTTTTTATATACATTTACGATTTGAAGTACACTACACATGCTCATTCATTTCATTAACTATTTACTAAATACACTCTAAAAAATGCTGGGTTGATTTAACCCAATTTTGGGTAAAATATGGACAAACCCAGCCATTGGGTTACATTTTTAAATTACATTTTTTAACCCAATGGCTGGGTATGTCCATATTTTACCCAAAATTGGGTTAAAACAACCCAGCATTTTTCAGAGTGTACATTTTTTTTAAAAAAATCTTCAAATAAAGTAGGCCTAAAGGTTTGGAATTACAGGAACTGTTGAACATTTCTAGAAACACCTGAGCTTCATCAGTATAATATATCTTATCGAGCTCTTCTCTTTAGCAGAGCCCCCCGTCTTCCTTATTAAATGATCCTGTAACTCTCAGGAGGAGGGCCAATTAGGTGGCTGAATCTCAGACACATGCACTTCTGTGAATAAACAAGATCACAAGCAAGTGTCTCTCCCCTTTAATTTGCTCTAGAAAAAAATCACCTTTACTTGATTGACATCTCCGTTGTGTCGACAAACTGTAGAATATTCCGCCATGTAAACTTAAATCAAGACGCATCATTCCTGTTTACTAGACAATTTTTTTTTTAATCTACTAGCCGGTGGTACGTAACTCTTTATAAAGACGGTGTGTGTGATATCAGACGTGGTTCATTGGAGGTGTGTGTGTGACTCAGAGAAGCATGACAGACTCCCCCTGCGCGACACAACACACTGATTGGCAAATTGCCAAGCATATCCGCTGCAGCCTGAGTTGCGAGTGGCAGGTAGAAATTGAAAAATGCGAAGCGCACTTTTCCGCTGATTGCTCCAGAGATTACCGACGCTCTCCTTCTCTTTCTCTGCATCAGGTTATTTTCTGCTCCTTCCTTTTCATATAAATGTGGTAAATACATAACTAGCTGTAACTAGCGAGCGTGGTGACAAGCAGTCTATTGAGTGTGAAGGTGGGAACTCCGACTGGAGAGAGGCTCAGGAGGAGAGTGTGTCATATTTGTCACCTTGTTTTCATGTGTATGATGGCTCGAGAGAATAGAGCCGTGGCAGCTGTTGTCATCTGCTGTGTCACTCTCTGAATCCGGGCGTCCGTGTCAACCTGACAGACAATCCGTCCTTCCATTGATCGTGTCACTCAAGTATTGGTTTATTTGCCTTTCTGTAGCGCTTAAGCACCTAACGGACTGAAAATCACCCCGGCAGTGTCAGGAGGTCTTCATCTGACTCTGGATCTTCACTATTGTGCCGATGACTGTCAGCTGCTAAGCCCACCGAGTCCTCGGTGGACATTGGCAGCCTCTAATTTACCAAGATAGGCCTGTGAGAGTGGCGGCTTTCTCCCCAGCAGGTCTACCTTTTCTCAGTCTATTAAAATTCTCCTCCTAATAAAAGCAAATTTGATAAATGCCTTTTCTACCTGTTCCATTACGGAGGCCCTGCTGTGCAGTCACACAAGAGGCTGAAAAGAGCCCTCTCCCAGTGAGTCGTGCCACCAAGAGAGCAATTAAATGAGGTACACTTACCTTACTCGCCCCTCTCTCTTTATAACTGCCTTTAAAGGTTCATTTTAAAGCCCATGCTGCTTTTTCTTAGTTACAGGGAAGGTAAGAAAATGTCTGACTGCACGTGCAACTTTATACGTTATGTGGCCAATGTATGTTCTTCGAAAGCCTTATGTAATCACAAATGGCACAAATGCTGCCATGTTGGGATGACTGTATTTAGGAGTTCAACATGACTGAACGACACCATGAAGACGTACAGTAATTACCAACAGGAACCTCGTTATTCTGTTTAAACCCCAACTTTCAATTTCCGTGTTCAGTGGCGGAAACCAATTTATGTTGATAATAATAAGTATAGTGAATGTTTTACATACACAATGCATACATATTTTGTGTACTGCATGGTGTTTTATTTTAATTTTAGTTTAGTTACAAAACTTTATGGTTGCCAAAGTTTATGCATTAACTAATCAATTATGTTGGCATCAAGTGGAAATTGAAATCAACTTTTATTCCCTGTTGTTCCCTTTTATTATTTATGTATATCACACTTTTTGAGCTTCAATGATAAGCGCTAAGGTTCTCATTCTACCAGTGTATCTTATGCAAACAAGGAATTATGTTCATTTTTTATTAATTGCTGTTAACTACTTTGCTTGCGCATATAAGTAAGCTACCACAAATAAGTCACTCTAAAAGTCATCTGGCCATTAGACAATTAACTACTTTGTAGCCCATCCCTTGCGACTTTATATACGTCATCATTAAGGAAGAGATGTCAATGTGTAACGGGAACAAGAAATGTTTGTAACATTAAAAAAAAACATTAATGTGCTCTGATAAATAACTGAGGCTTTAATGTTTAATGTGAGTCTTAAAGTTTCACCATTTAAAATGTATATCAGAAAACAGATAGAGTACTTCCCTGGAGAACTTGAACAATAGAGCACTTTGTTGGGTTGACCAAGGTGTTGAGATGATTGACTTGGCCCTCATTGGTTTGATTCATCTCATGACCATTAAGACCTTACTAATTGATTAACTGATTGACAAGCTTGATGATTAATTCTGACATGTTGGTCCAGCCCTGATTTATTGGTTTATGACTCTGGCCACACAGTCTTGTCTTGGTGTTTTTAACACACACACACACGCAATGTAGACCCTAGGCATCTCTTTCCATGCCTCTTGGTATCACTTTATCATTAGATAAGAGAAAGTCCCAAGGGCCTTGAGAGTCCAGACCTTCCATTTGCAATAATCTTGTGCAGAACTTGTTTGTGTCCTGCTTGGTTTCAGTACGTATGACACAATAGAGGATATCATTTTTAGGGAGGTGTGGAGCTGTGAATTGCTCCCTACTCCACTGAGCCATCGTACACAGACCTTTTACACTCAACACAATACACCCAGTAGCACACACACACACACACACACACATACAGCACTTACACCACGACCCACCTCCTATAAAAACCAAACACACCACTTAGCAGTATTTTAGCCTCAAATGCACCGCCCACACACACACACACACACCTTGATCCTGTCTGATGCACCAACTGTCAACAACAACAGCTAGGAACCTTATTCTAAATGTGGACGTAGCTTGTGAGTTTCCTGAACGGTTACTTGCAAAATTCGTGTTTGGATGATTAAAACGTTAAAATTAAGGGAAAAAATGACCTCAAAGTGGTATTATTTCTCTTGCCCTCAGATCTACAGCCTCTTTTTGGACTCTTTACCACTAGCTTCATTTTCACACTTAAATGTTCATTTGATTTACTTTCTCTTTGTGTTGTCCCCCTCTTTTAACAATGTCCCCTCCCTTTTCTGCAGGAGAGGTTTAATTGCAGGGTTACAGGAGTGCAGTGCCTCGGGATGCTGAGCGGCCGAACCGGGCCCTACCCTGTCATTTACTCGCGTCAAGCTCAGCTCAGCCATGGGGAAGCTGGAGATTTTCACGGTGGGCCCCGAGAGTAGAGTGGACTTGTCTGCCCCTCAGCGGGGCTATAATGACAGATGCCTTTTAATGGCTGCATGGGTAGAAAAGGAAGGGGGGCAAACTGCGGGGGCGCTTGTCAATGTGAAGGGGGATCATTTTCGTCACCAAGATGTGACGTTTCTAATCTTTTTCCTCTGATTTGCTCCTTTTTGATGCCTTTGTGACTGCAATGAGAGAGTTCATTAACTGTCACTGTCTGTCGGAGAAGTCTATAAAGTCTTGAATTCATATGAAAAGGCCTATTGTAAAAACATAAAGATATGCGTATAAAATAATGTTTATTAAATATAAAATTACATCAAAAACAACAACAATATAAATAACAATATTAAACATTTTATTGTTGTTGTTTGTTGCTGTTCATATTTTTATTTTATATTGAAGAGAGTACAACAACAAATACAACCATCAAATCTATTACTTTGTAATATCATACAATTAATTATATGAAGTAATGTTTTATATAAATTATTACTGTTATCATTATTCTTGCTGTTGTCTTCCAGACATTATGAAAAAAATATATATATATTAAAAATCGAACTGTAAATAATTGAACTGTATAGCTCTATAAAGTAACTGTAAATATGTATGTCATTAAAACATAATGATAAGTATTGAATATAAAGTTGTCATGTCGTCTGGATGATGTGCGTGCTGAAGGTGAAGAGCTGTTCTCTGTTATCCTCAGGCAGTGTGTTTGAGAGGTTCAGAACAGAAGGGGACAGATGGGCCCAGTGAAAGTCTCCATTGAGAGAGCCTGTCCTCAGGCTCCAGCCCAGCTGTCAGAGAGCACTGAGACAGCAGGAAAGGTGAGATTCACCTATTTTGAAGGCAGACAAGTAACATATGTGTCAGAATTACTAATCTTACACAGAGGTGACTCAGTGTTTGGTAGCTGGCAGACCTGCCCCTGTGTAAATGATAGGCAGATTAAAGAAATCAATGGCCTTTTGAAGGGCAAGGGATTTGCTGATTCTCATCTCTTGAACAGGGAGTTGATTCCCAGTCAGGGGTATGTGCACTTGAAAGGGTTTCATTTGGCTTTCATTTGACAAAAAAATGTAATATAAAAATAGATGGAATTTATTACTTTTAAATATAAGGGTGTCAATACATTTCATTTGTAATGTGATTAATGATGTTAAAATGACTCATGTTTCTCTTTTTGACCCTCAATACAAACTTTTTCTGCCCCATTCTTTTTGTCCAAGCACATCTCAAACACAACAACAACTATAAAATTATAAAAGAAACCAACAAATGTTCTATACTTGATAGAACAATCTATACGTTCTATGGATTAAAGCACAAAGACAATTTTGCAACTTATTGTCATTGGTCACTGGAAAAACATGCCTCTACCTACATACTGTTACAGTATGACCTACAAATATTTACCATAGTGCATGCTTTGTAAACTACAGTAATACAATTTGACATTTGCATCACATAATCAGCTCCATGTCACATGTATGCTCTGTGTTCCCTCCTTCATTTTGTTTTTGGTTCTGTCCTGTGACCTAGGCTAATGGTGCGTTCTATTATAGCCAACGAACCGACTTGGACCTCGGATATGACGTCCTGTCCACACTTCAAGCATTCTATTATGTTTTGCGTGTTCGAGTAGGAGAAAAAAAATGGATGCCACCCGGAAAGCTGTTGTAATCGTAGCACTGGCCAAGAACCGGGCACTTACAATAAAAAAAATTATATATATATATATATATATATATATATATATATTATGACTACACCTTATCAAAACGCAGCCATATGAACTTGAAAATGTTCACTTTATTTAATGTTTTTCATGTTAATCTTCCGTTAGCAAAGCTACCAGCGTTAGTAATTGCACTCACAACAACCCATTCCCATACCTACAGGGGACGCAGTAATACGAGTGATTATAATCATCTTTTAAAATACCAAAGCGGTTCAAAAACAATGAAAACAATTCATACAAGTCACACAGGTCGCAGCCATCTTGAATTCCGAAACAGAATTCTTGCTCGGTGTCCTCACGGTTGTCCGACGTCCGAGAGGAGAAATCCAAGGAAAGGGGGTGTGTTGCTAGGCAACGTCTGTCTTCCGATTCCGATCTCCGAGACGTAAATTCAGACAGCCGTTAAGCATACATCGGTTGTACACTCGTTATTGCGGTACATGTGGGATTGAATGAGTGCACTCAATAACGTCCACCATAGTTTCGGACACAACTACGAATGGCTGTCCCCTCAAATAATGCCTTATTTGAGGCTATAGGGGGGTGATTTCGGATTCAGCCCAAGTTGTCCTCAGTCTAATTAGTCATTACATTCACCTGTGTCCTTTTATTTATCTGATCAGCTCCCTCAGCGCCCTTGTTCTAGTATTTACTGTATGCTCCCTGGTTCTTTCAGTTGTTGTTCGTTCTTGTTAATGTTAAGGTGTTTTATGTCTGCTTCCCTGAGTTCTGTTTAGTTTGATTCTTCGTGCACTTCCTGCCAAATGCACTCATGACACTCCACAAGTATTACTTTTCTGACATAGTAAACTTGCTAAGTATCTCACCTGACACAGCATTGCCCTTGCGATGCAGAGCACTCTGGTACGAGTCCTGTGAAAGATCTCAAAGACTGTTGAAGCAAGCTAAAATGGCATGGTCGTTTCAGCAAATACTTTTTATTTTTGCTTTTGTTAAAGGTGCAAAACGCAAGTCTCTGAGTTTTTGCAGAACTACGCCCCCACTGGCGACAAGCGAAACTGAAACCAGAGGTGTGCGCGCTCATGGATCACACACACGCACGTTTGCACGAGCTGTTCATAACCAAAGGAGCATCAGCCGCACACATCTTTTGTTACAGTCATAATGAAGTAATAGAGTTATAAATCTGCAAGCCATTTAAAATATATGAAAGGAAAGGCATTTGCGTAAATTACACACTTATGTGTGTGTGAGGGAGAAACGGGGGTGGTAGAAAACTTCGGTTTTTGTTTCCATCTATCTCCATGTTGAACTGGAGTGCTGATGTGCTTACTGTATCCACTTATGATTGTATTATTATGGAAACACGTTCATGAACAATATAAGTTATTACTTAGGACTCGTTTGAGCCCTAGAGCAGACCAGAGATCTCTCCATGTGTTGAAAGCTTCCCGATGTTGACTCTCGTATTATTCTGACACCTGTCACTAGACAGAAGTTGTATATTCTTTGTCTTACGTGGAGTTTGCATTGGGGTTTGGAATGAACTACAAGCCAGTCTCTTTGGGGCTGTTTACACCTGGCCACTTCATGCGTTTTCTCAGATTGGATAGCTATCTGATTTATCAAAACGATTCCATTTACACCGGATATAAACGGATATAAATCTGATCTTCAATTCCTGCGCTATTTACAGATTTAATGAAGTGCACGTCACCGAAAGCAACAGATTTGAACTGCATTTTATTGATCATCGGCTAATTTCAAAATCAGCAAAGACAGCAATAAGAGAGAGCGGCAACAGCCTTGGTAAGATCATTTCATTTCTTTACTTTTAATGAAGATGGTAGTGTTAAGCGTCTGCGACTTACTTTCACTTTGATTTGCGATAGATAGCGGTGCGCTGGCTTTATGAATAGGGGCTCAGCTGCTCATCTGAGGTGATCATGCCTGTCGCAGTAGCGTCGTCATATCCGACTAAAATAACATGATATATAGCCTGGTTTCAACAACCAGATGCATTTACACTTGTCCAGTTTCATCTGGAATACGGCCCAGACCACATCCTCAAGTGGTTTGAGCGATCAGATTCAAATCCGTCGCTAGGGCTGTCGCGGTTATGGAATTTCCCTTGCGGTTATGTTGAGTGGCTCAATAGCGCGATATGCGGTATTACCGGCATTTATTTATTTATTTGTATTTGTTATATGTATTTGTTGCTATATAAATAAAGTTTACGTTGTGGACAAAAACAAGGACATTTTCAGTAACCAATGTAACCGAAACTAAACAGCGTCTACAGTATATGCGCATCGAAAGACTTTCACTCAGCGCGTGTAACCCCTCACACCCGGGTCCAACTCCACCCGCTCCGAGCGGGCCTCGAACCGGAGAGTCAGGCGCGCTAACAAGGAGGCTAAAGACTGCAGCCTCTAGTGTCTGTCGCTAGAGCGCCTATTGAGATCGGGTAGTGAGGTTTACTCACACAGCAACTACTAGCTGGCCTCCGTTACACTCACCCCCCTAAACCTCACTCTCATCCGGGTCACGGCACCAATGTAACCCCTCACACCTGGGTCCAACTCGACCCGCTACGAGCGGGCCTCGAACCCAGGTCTCCGGCATGAGAGTCAGGAGCGCTAACAAGGAGGCTAAAGACTGCAGCCTCTAGCGTCTGTCGCTAGAGCGCCTATTGAGATCGGGGAGTGAGGTTTACTCACACAGCAACTACTAGCTGGCCTCCGTTACACGCGCATATTGTTATGACAATGGACTTTGAGCGAGTCATTGAACCGTTCATTCAACGAACACATTTAAAAAAGCTGATTCATTAAAAGAGATGTAAAGAAACAAGATGTTAATTATTTTTAACTTTGAGGTTCAACTTTTCAAGGCTCAGCTGAGCAGCAATGCGTCGCATGGGCAACGCTGAAGGTGATGCTTCACTTATGATGACTCACTGATTTTATTTCCCCGCGACTTCCTTGTGCTGTGGGATGCTGACCAGCGCTGCTGCTGACGCGCATTTATGGGGAAAAAAAACGTTAAAATGATGATGTGACAAATATTTCGCTTCCCTTTGACACGACAAGCTTTTCACGACTTCAAAGACAAACGCAGGTAATTGCGCTCTACCGATCTCTCTCATTCACTGTGTGAAGCCTGTAGGTTAACACATCACCATGATAAACAGTCTTGTTATCATTATTAACTTGTTTAACATTCAGTAAATGGACTGCATTTATATAACGCCTTCATAGACCTAATGGCCACCAAAGCGCTTTACATTTGCCTCACATTCACACACTCATTCATACACCGACGGCAGTGTCAGCCATGCAAGGCGCCAGCCAGCTCGTCGGGAGCAGCTGGGGTTAGGTGTCTTGCTCATGGACACCTCGACACTTGGTCAGGTGGAACCGAGGATTGAACCACCAACCTTTCGATTCGTAGACAACCCACATGAACCACTGAGCCACTGCCGTCCCATTTATGGGATAGCTTAGATAGATTCAATACACATGCATTAAGTTCAAAACAAGAAGGGTATAGCCTTCTAAAAAAAAAAAACGTGAATATCGCGGTTGCTGCGGTTACGTGCAATCCTCTGCGGTTGACTTGTCAGAAGCGTGGTACTACAATATTGCGGTTACCGCGACAGCCCTATATCGTCGCGAATGCGTTTCGGAGAGCATTTACACCCTGGTCTTTTCACAATCGAATAGCTATCCGATCACAGAAAACGCATGAAGTGACCAGGTGTACACGGCCCCTTTGAACCCATCTTCTACTTTTGTGGAAAGTTGACTAAAGTTTTGTCGCTAGAGTTGTCTTCTCTGATACGGAGAATGGCGGCGAATACACAAACCTGCCAGTCAGTCATAGCCAGGTGAGCATGAACGCACATGACGTCACGCTCAGTCTCAAATTCGAGCCCGAATTGCTCTTATTTATTTTACTGTACAGGATTATGGAGGCAATCGCAGTGATCAGAGAAGGGCTCATTCAGCGCATCAGGCAATTGTTTAAGCATGTATGGGTTAGAAAAAGGGTATTTTTAACATGAAATGTTGCGCAATGCACCTTTAAGGCCATATGTTAAGTTTAGGGTTGGTGGTATGTTACTTTTTAAACGCAATACAGCACTAATCTTTTTTTCTTTCTCTCACTGCACATTTAATTTCTGAACTGCCACGATACGTACCAGAAACAACATAATAACACTTTGCCAGATTCATATGTTTTTGATGAAACTGAATCTGCTTTTAGTGCAACTTAATGTGTTGTGAAATATACAAGAAGCAACATATCGTTTTCCAGATATGTTGCCATGGAACCTGCACATCAGCAGTATTTAAATATAACAACTTTCTCCA